GGGGGTGGGGGGGTGAGGGGATACTTACACACCACATGAGCGACCGTATAGCGTACCTGTATCACAGAACATCAAATTTAGAATTATTAATACATACCCTACACACAGATATCGATAAATACTGTGTGAGTTTAGATAACTCATGGACTATTTTTCGCTTCTGGTTTTTTTTTATTTCATTTAATAAAAAGTTAAAATTTACATACATATGCAAGTCAAACCTTTTCAACTAATATTTTCATATTTTGAAGTTTTACAACTTTTACGAAAATGTAAACACCTGTCAGTTGATTCTGTTAAAGTGCGACCCTCGATTTGTCAGCGTCCGGTAGAGGGCGACAATATCAATTCATTGCAGTGTTCGTTAGAGGGTAAGCATGACTAGCCTGGTAAGGTCCACAAGAGGGCGACACTGGGCTGGTAGTGTCCGTTAGGAGGCGATGACCGTACGCGTCTGGTACGGTCCAGTAGAGGGCAATCGAATGGAAGGGTTCGATAGATGGCGACACTGGGCTGGTAGGATCAATTGGAGGGCAACGGTAGCCGTATAGAGTTCGATAGATGATGATACTGTCTATGTGTAACAGAGGAGATAAAGAGTTCATCAGATATTGGAGGGTATATTCGCGGGTTCGTACCGAATCGCACATATATCGGTATAAAAGCATACTGTCGTCTATCTGTAGGAAATGCGCCACATATATCATAACAAACTCACAGCAATAATAGACATATCATTTAGTTACGTTTGACATGCCATGTCTATGGGAATGTAACACGTAAATCTGTATCTTATAAAACCCGTTTTTACGTTATCGAACCCCCAGTGCTTCGCGCGTGTGAAGTGGCGGGGTAATGTCTGTGAGAATTAGCAGTAAATGAAGTACACATTGATGGGTTAGGGGCCGACACCGAACGTCTGTTCCCACTCAGCCCGTACTTATACCGTCCGCTACTGTATCTATACTGTATAGATAATACTTAACTACTCATTTACATTAAAACAAACCATTAGTCCATTAATAGAAGGTTTCTTTTGGAACTAGTTGTTATTGTTTAGTTTTCCATTAACCAATTATATCGAATACGAAGTTTATTATGTTTGAATGTACGGGGTTAATTTCAATGAAATTATCACAGTGAAATACAATTTGTATTGGAGGGATATCATATTATTGTATCATAAGATCGTAACGTGTTAAACGTTGCTCTGTACATAAACATGATAAGAATGTAAATATGGAGTTAAGCTTGAGTGTTTAGACTTTATGATTTGTTTTAAAATCATGACTAATCTTTTTGTACTGAGATTTAGTCTGATTGTTTTGTATTGACAGATAGACAGACAGCCATTCTTTATTTCCTCGTAGGTCGAGATTATTACAGAACAAAATACATTCAAAATGTACACTTACACTATTTCTTGCATTTCATGAACTGTTTTGTCATTACTCATATGGCATTTGATAAGTCATTCATTTCATTGAACATTGTTTTCAGCGTTCTTGGTGTGCTTATCATCAAACATTCCCAGATATCATCATTAAGACGAATGACGCTTAGATCACCAAAAAGGAAACAACACTGTTCATTATCATCTAAGTTTGAAAACACAATGTAATCGTTAATGTCTAAAGTGTTTACTACTTGGTCAAATTATAGGTCTCTACTTTTGTACAATTAGGATATATAACTAGGAAATGCAGAACTATATCGTCCGATACTGTTCCACATAAACGACGTATCAACTTCTCTGTCACATAAAGAAATGAATTTTTCACCATTAGAGAACTAGCCTGATCGTTTTGCATGGAGATTTAGCCTGAGCGTTAGATATTGAGATTAAGATTAACCGTTCTGTATACAAATTTCTTCTCATAGTTTTGTAATGAGATTTAGCCTGATCGTTTGTATAAAGATTTAGCCTGAGCGTTAAGTATAGAGATTTAGCCTGCGCGTTAAGTATAGAGATTTAGCCTGAGCGTTAAGTATAGAGATTTAGTCTGATCGTTTGTATAGAGATTTAGCCTGAGCGTTAAGTATTGAGATTTAGCTTAACCGTTTTGTATAGAAATTTATACTGATAGTTTTGTAAAGAGATTTAGCCTGGTCGTTTTCTATACAGATTTATCCTGATCGTCTTGTATTAAAATTCACCCTGAATGTTTTGTATAGCGCTATAGCCTGATCGTTTTGTATAGAGATTTAGCCTGGTCGTTTTGTATAGAAATTGAGCCTGATTGTTTTGTATAGAGACATAGCCTGATCGTCTTGTATTGAAATTTAGTCTGATCGTTTTCTATACAAATTTAGCCTGATAGTCTTGTTATGAAATTCAGCCTGATCGTTTTGTATAGAAATTTATCCTGATCGTTTTGTATAGAGATATAGCCTGATCGTTTTATACAGAGATTTAGACTGATGGATTTGTATAGATATTTAGCCTGATCGTTATTTATGTAGATATAGCCTGATCGTTTTGTATAGATATTTAGCCTGATCGTTTTATACAGAGATTTAGACTGATGGATTTGTATAGATATTTAGCCTGATCGTTATGTATGTAGATATAGCCTGATCGTATTGTTTAGAAATGTAACCAGGTTACTTCGCATAAAGATTTCTATAGATGATGTTGGATGGATATCTAGCCTGATTGCTTGTACGTATCCTGACCCCACTTGTTTTTAGGTGGACTTACACGTGTGTTACACGTTCAGTTTAAATTTTGTGGATACTGACGTCTATGCACCCATTCATTAATGGGAAACACAAAAAAATATCGCTTGGTAACGTACAAAGGTTTCCCATTAAAAAATAGACGAGACGTAATGTTTGCGGTAATTAGTCTTCGCGGTATCCCATTACCACACATTGGTGTAAGTTCTATATCACCCACTATAAAGATGATGTCATGAAATATGACGCATTCCTCACCTTTATTAATAAAAAAAATACATACTTTGTCTTATGCCTCAGAAACAAATGTATATTAAAAAAAACTTGAACATTTTGTCGTTGTAGTTGTGACGTCATGGCGGAGTTTGACCTTGAAAGTCTCCGCTCCAGCGAACCAGAGCTGCCGCCTGTCACCCCCGGGTTTTTCGATCTCGACGCTCTGATCCTGGACGAAAAGTCTCTTTGCAACATCGATCAAATCATCGCCGCACTTGACATCAGACTCGACAAGGAAAACCAACTCGTCCACTTAGCCCTCCGGAACCTGAAATATGTTATTATGTGTCAGGACCGAAAGGGCCGCCTAGAGGCAGGAAAACGGTTATCGGCCCTTAACGTTGCCAATCCGGATCACCTTAACACACTAGCTAACCTCGAGCACGTGTACAAACTCTGTCACAGACGAGCCGACGCTAAGGCATGCCGGGATAGGCTGGATGAGCTCCTGGACAAACGGAAGCGGAAATATGAGATTCTGAAGGCGCAATGCCTCCTAGAGCAAGGTTGGTTAGTTGAGAGTAAACGTATTATAATGCATTGAAATCTTTCATCCCTATAATTTCAAATATAAATTCTGATATTTATCTTGATATATTTACATTCTGTGTTGCATTTGCCTATATGTCGTTAGTAAACCAAGTTGCAGTATATGAGACTGTATATTACAATTAACAGTGATACGGCCAGTGTAGGAATACAGCCGGTACAAGGTAAACAAACATGGCCGCCCGATACTTTCGGTATCAATAGGCATATTGTCGGAAAACATTCTGGGTTCGTTAGCATTTAGCAATATAGGTCATCGCAAAAAAAATAAAGCAACTTGACAAATTATGACAATATAAATTTATTATAAGATGTGTAGGTACCACAAAATTATTGTAAGCGCCATTCTAGATACGAAATTACCAAGTTTGTCAACGTCATCACACAGGGGATCGGGTTCGAGATTTTGAGTTATGCATAACATCAGTGGATAACCACAACACTAAAATTCAGCATTTCTAAAACCTTGTAAAAGTCGAGGGTATCGACAAGGTTTTAGAATGTGTATACATACCTTTTTAAGTGTAGTGGTTATTCAGTGATGTCATTCATTACTCAAAATCACGAAACCGAGCCCCTGTGAACGTCGTCTGCTAGCGATGCTAATCTGACCGATTAGACATGGAACCTATTTCAAACGAAATGTCTTTGGAATCGTTATCACCTACTGAAAGGACCACTTTAATTAAACATTTCCGAGTGTATATGCTTCTGAAAATAATGTAATATTCCAGTCGAAGGAAACATAAGCGTTTCCGAGTAAACAATCAAGTCCGTTGAGCGCCGCATCACTTGAAAATACATATATGTAATCTATCAATGCGCGAAAAACAGCTTTAATTTTAAACAAGCAGAAGTTATGCAATTATTAACAATTTTTCAACATTAACACACTCATAGGAAATAAATAATAAACTTAAGTTTGTGTTCAAACCATTTTATGCGCGTGTGGTTTTCAATGACACGAGGGACTATATTATTTCTTCTGGAAATGTCATCTGTTCTAGGATTTGAACTTACTGACGTCACTGATATGATAAGCAAGGATACATATCCGGTTTCCCCACTGGAAGGCTACTTCCGGACGAAAAAAATCAAGGGCAATGTGTAGAAAGGGGAAGCAACTCTGTTTACGCACGCATGTGTTACCTTTAAAGATGAAATTCAAACGTATTTTTGCTTCAGCTACTATACAAAACAAACTATATACATATAAATGTAAATATAAGCATTGAACTGTTACAAGATGCAGTATACAGTCGATTAGGGCGACATGAATATTTATCTGTCACCCAAATTGCATTCATATCGACTGTATACTGCATCTGGTAACAGTTCAATGCTTAAATATATACAAAAGATCATATTGAAGAGAAGGTTACAGAGCTGCCAGAGTCACATGCCATACAGGGTTATTATTACAATTCTTGACATTTTTTAATTGTCATGATATTAAACAGATGCGAAACGATGTTTCTCTATGTAATCGTGTAGAATGTAAAACTGTATAAATTAAGATAAAATATTTGATCTCATGAAAGTGATGTTATGATAAGGTGTGTTTTACTTATGGGTACTGTAGTCCATTGTCTTTCACGGTTTGCTCATTTCATTCTAAACTTGTAAAGTTGCATTTGTACAATAAGGAATATTTTTCACTGAAATCGATATGTTAGAATCTCCGCGTAATCAGTTTGATATGATAACTATTTATACCCCTCCCCTCTATGTCGCCTCTCCCTGACAACGTGTTGGACACTGTGCAGTCCCACATCTATTCCTCTGATCATATGCTGTAAAAGTAGACAATTTTTAAATATATATATACGCTTGGGGATATTTCGCCCTAATTTAATCAACGCGAAAATCGCGAGCATATTTACACCGCGAAAATTTCCCCTTTTTCCATATTTGTTCGTTTTTGCTTCAAGGATACGTGTACACAGTGTTGTATCACGAAGCTAAGGGAGTTGAGATGGTCAAAGGCGCAATGGACAGTGTCACGAAACGTCTCGAGGGCCTCCGAAGGAATTGTAGAGATAGTCGTGCGGAAACATCTATTGATGGTGTCCTTGCAGAAGTGAGTATTTTGACGTGTGATCTCCTGAGTATCGAGGATTCCAAGGTGCGTAAAGCGTTCAACACCAACGAGTGCCTGAAGAACTACGAGGTCGGCCTGGAGATGTTAATGTGTCAGCCTGGCACAGAACTAGAGGTACAACTGTGGAACTACTATCAGGCTCTTATCAACTACAACATGGCTAACCTCACATCACTCTGTAGGTAGGTCAACGTCACAGTAGGAAGGTGAAGGTCACATCCCACTGTATGTAGGTCAACGTCACAGTAGGAAGGCGAAAGTCACATCCCTCTGTACATTGTATGTAGGTCAAAGGCTCGTCCCTCTGTATTTAGGTCAAGGCTACGTTACTATGTACGCGATCAAGGCATCGATACTCTGTATATACAGGTAAAGGTCCCATCACTTTGTTGGTAGGTCACGTCCCGCTGTAGGTAAGTCTAGGTCAACCCCCATTATATGGAAGGCAAATTCATTTCACACTAGAAGGCGTTTAAGGTCTCGACATTCTATACGTATGTTCAGCAAAAATAATTCGAACACATTCCCCTGCAGTCTACCTCTATATAAGTGAAAATAGAACAACGACTTTGTAAAATAAACATTTTAGAGTGGAATACCTACGAAGTTGAACAATATTCATTCAAATCGTTAAAGTGTAAAAGTCTGAGGCAGTTCATGTAAAACAAGGGAGGTATCTCTGTATGTTTGTAATAATTTGTGAACTCTCCTGTATTGGAGGAGCGATTTAATGTTGTTAAACGTGAACGAAGAATGAAGATTGTTTCTTGTATTCAATATAAAATTACTTCACTGTTGCTATAGTCCTTTTATGTATACAACATAGGGAAAAGAAATCGTACCTCTTTCAATTCAGAACCAGTAATATCTGTCAGTGTATTGACTATTCACTGCAGGGCTGGCGAGGCCGGGATACACCGGAAGAAGGCGGCGCTACTGTTTCTCCGGGTCTACAAGGAGCTTGACCAAGACATCCCAGAATCGATGATGTACCGGGCTCGTTCTCTCGGCTACCTTGGTCATCTCCTTGCATCTACATTTGAGGGAAAAGGTGATATTGCTGTTCTATCAGTTACATTTACTGTACCCCTGTTAACACTGGCCCCTGCGTCTACCTGCAATATATTTCCGTTCTCCTGGTGCCATAGACCCTGTGACTACTTGTAATAAGCTTACCTTTCCTCTAGCAATTTAACTTAAAGTCATGGTATTTCAGTGAGAGAGCACTATAAAATCTGCTTCAGATCCGCGCTATCACAAGGAGGCAAGCACACCAACATACCCTGTCTTCTTCATACACACACGGAAGTACGCATACACTACACACATGAAGACACGTCCTTAAATGACCATTGATGTTAATAAGACGTTAAACAAAAGTAAACCAAACAAAACACCAAACGTCAAGTCAACTGAAAACGTCAACAGTAGGAACAATGGAGACAAACAACTTGATTTAAATAAATTAATAAAAATATAATACAAAAGATGAATAATTAAAATGAAATAAATAAAAAGAATAAAATAAAAAGGAAAAGCGTTTCCGCCATTATTAATTGAGCCAATATGCTGTCTTCAACGTTGTACAATGAACAAAACTGTAAAGTAGACATTGAAATATTGCACTCTGTAATACGAATATTTCCAAAACAATCAAGATGCTGATCGAACAAGTGCTGCAAAGTGACGAACAAAAGATACATGAAACACTCCTGTGTGATGTAGACGGAGAAATTTCAGCCCGAGGGTAAGCTTTTGGAAGTGAGCACCAGGCTCTGACAAATATCTTTTCCCGAGGGTCGATGTTTCCCCTTCTGCATCACGCAAACGTGATTTCTTTTTTTCTCTCTTGCACTTCCCTGCTCTACAATGAGTAATGATGGTTAACAAAATGCAATAAGGTAACGCTGCGTAAAATGATGACTTAAGAAGTAAGACAGAAAAATCTAAACCCTCAGACTAAGATTGTTCATTGACTGGTCCTTCGACAAAGCCTCGGCCTAGACATTTAAGAATTTTGCCCTTTAAGTTGAGATTTTTTTCTGTCTTACCCCCAAGGTGGGTTAAGATTATTTAAATCCTTTCTTTAACAAAACCGTTAAAGCACCGAATATGTGTGACAGAAAGAAACATCTACAGTGTGTATATGTGCACCAATGTCTGTAGTATATAGTCTCCGTGTAGGGGTCACATATGAAGACACAAATAATACTATATGTACATTGTATTGTTATAAGATATGAATAAAGAGGTATCCAATGCCTGCGTCCATTATCTTTCCAATTAAATCCTGTTAAATGACTACTAGTAGCTTTCTAGTCGTCTGTAGTATCAACATGCTCACTGTCGACATGACTCTAAGCTTTCTGTTATCCTATGTAACCACCTTTAATTAATGTCTTTTCCCGCTACAGGTGACACCTACAAAGACACGCTGGAAACATTTACCATAACAACAGCACAACTCGGGGGCGTGTCCAGCTTTCTGTACGAAAAAGCCCGTTCGTACTGTCCGGAAGATCACGTGATTTTGACGACGGAAGCAAATTTCATGTTGCACAAAGCTCTAAATAAAACCCAAAACCTCACAGAGAGAAAGCGTCAACTAGACCGAGCTAATATCATAGTCTCGCGGTCGTTATCAAATCTATCTGATTATTACGAGAACTCGCTTGCGTATTCTGTCAGACGAGACATCAACTACCACCTTTCTCAGCTCGCCCCAAACATGGGAGAAAGGTATCTGCGGCAGGCCAGGTCTGACGGAGAGGTGGTGCTGCTTTCGGGAGGCGTGGCCGACCTCGTTACCATGGGAATGATCTGTCACCTGTTGGCCCAGAGTCAGCCCCAGTCACGACGGCTATCGAGTATAGCGGACAAAGATGACGTATTGTACGAAGGTATTGACTACATTCAGCAGGCAATCGAAAAGGGCGCGCAGGATCAAAGTAAACTCAAGTGCTACGAAACTCTTGCAAGTAGTCTGTTTCAGCTTAAGTCGTATAGAGAAGCAGTGGAGTGTCTTAAGCGTGTGATTGAAAATGATACGACACGGAATGTGATTCTGTTTAAAACGTTCTGTACTTATTTTTTCGAATTGTATAAAGACGCCGGGAAAAACGGGCGCCATGTATTGCAGGAATTCGTGTATTGGTTGTGCTGGTGCGCAGACAAGTTTGGTCAGGATGACGTCATCAATAACTTCGCGAAGTGTACGAAAGAGTATTTCACGGAAATGGTTGCGGTCATAGAGGTATTGACATCTAGTATCCATGGAAACGGAGGGGGGAATCACGTTTGCATGATAGAAAAACTCAAACAAAAGCTAGAAAAAGTGAGGAGCAATGAATCTAAGAAACGAAACGCACCGCCACGTTCACCCAAATCTCGTTTCCGGTTTCTGCTTCGTAGTCCGCATGATAAAAGCAGAACTATCGGAGAAAAGGAAAGGACGCCGACACGGTCGATTGGACAAGCGGCTGGGCCTGTGTCCAGTGTCCTAAGGATCGTCCTCCAGCTGCCGGGAATGATGCCACAGTATAGTGGCACGTACGACTACATCGTCATGCATAGTATGACTGACATAAACTGGGTCATGTATGTCCTCCGGCCCTCATTGGAGGAAAGCTTTGGGGTGAACAAGATCAGAGGTGAGTACACGCCTGTCCTCACAGAGGTTACATTGTGGTGAACTAGATAAGAGAGTGTATCTGGTCTTTACTGGAAAAGCTGAAAAAGAGATGAAAAAGAGCTGAGATGAGTATACTATTTTCCCCACTGTGAACATCGTTGTGATAATAACTAGATAAGAGGTTAGTATACCATTGTCTTTACTGGTGAACAAGATCCGAGGTGAGTTAGCTACCCTCCTTACAAAGGAAATCGTTGTGATGAACGAGATTGACGGTCAGTATATACCGGTCATTACTGGGGAAAGCGTCATGAGGAACAAGATCAAAATCGAATGTAACCTGGCTCACACTGGGGGAAAGCGGTGTGACGAACAATATACATGTAGGAGATACATATACTCTAGTGCTTATTGGGAAAATCTTCGGAATGAGGGGCCGGGGTGTCCGAGTGATTAAGGCGTCTGACCGTCTACGATCACCAGCCCTACACGCCAATGAGTCGCGGGTTCAAGACCTACGTGGGGCAGTCGCCAGGTATAGGCCGCAGGTAATCCTCCACCACCACATAGCTGTTAGTACAACGAAAAGCACAAACAAACAACCCGTTCAGAGTTAACTATATCAGCTGTAGTGTACTGCAGCAAATAGTGGGGAAATCAATATCAAATAAGTGTAGATGCATTGGCCTAACGGAGGAAAACGTTTTGCTGAAGAAGACCAGGACCCGTATTCATGAAACACTTATCATGCTCAGATTCTGTGTTCATTCACGAGTTTTTGTTCGGGTAATGAATTAATAAACATACGCGTTTTTTCCTATGATTTGGAACAATTCTGGAGACATAAAAAGCCGTTACCGTGTTCAGTGTTTACATTTAGGTTTATAGGTGTCGCATGATTTCAGCGGGTCACAGGAAAGCTAGTAAGAGCACAGAATTCATGCACGAGACGGTTTCATGAATTCTGGGTCAGAGGTGAGTAAACTACACTTAACACTGTAAGGAGATTGACGATTACCAAGATACACAGTAAGTACACTACAACCATCGCATGCGACTAAAAAAATAATCAGTGATGAGTATTTTCCAGTCCTTACAAAGAAAAAGTCGAGCGGACGTGAGAAAATAATCTCTCCTATTTAATGTACAAATCTACATAAATGTTGTTTGTTCTTTCTCCAGGCTACCTTGCTGGCCGGGACTTTGTGGCTTCTTCCGGTATTTGGGAGCCATTGAGGGACAAAGTGGCAACAAAGGTCATTCTTGTACTGTCGATGGAGTTCATGCGGACAGAATGGACGTACGCCGAAGAACAGACGGACATCATGCGACTGCTAGAAGAGAAAAGCCGAGAGGGAAACTTGGTGCCTCTTTTACTGGACTCTCCATGCAAAATTCCCGAAAGACTCCGCTGGATTTTGGGACTGAGTTGGCGGACCCCCGTGGGTCCCTATGATTGGGACCAGGTTCGTCGTTATCTGGTTTGAATGGATACCCACAAGTTACTTCCCGTTTTGTAGCCACAGAAGTAACATTATGGTTGTGATCTTGTGTTTGGCATTGTGTGTCAAACCTGTTCACGTATCGACTGCTGGAAAATATAAATGGCAAAAAGTTTAAAAAATATTTACATCTGCTGCCCTACAATGTCTGTTTGTGTTTTTGTAACAGGTATGAACTTCTTTTATACAATTATACTACTATTGTGCAGTTAATGACTTTCTTATGCATCCTCTTGCCACTACCAAATCTTTTCTCTGACATGACAATGGCATTGATTAATCATCGCTGAAAAGAAAAAGAAGAAAAACGAATGACATGCCTGCCGGATCCTTTATGAAAATAATAAGGATTAAATTAACTAATCAGAGACAACTGTAATGACTTGTTATTAAATGCAACGGGACTAGACAGGGATTCGAACTCGAGACCTTCCGATGTAGGGACTGTCGTTCTAACTAACCGAGTAACCTCTCGCCAAAGTTACAATACTGTAATAATGAAAACGAAAACATGGTAAAAATTACTGTACGAACGAAAAGCTTTAATGGATTTTTAAAAATGTTTTGCCTGCTGTTGGACAAGGATCTTTAAAGAATATACAACTGCTGTTTACACCAGACTGTCCGGTAAACATTGGGAACATTGGTACGTGGTTGTTGTGACAGTGCTATTTGGTGGATCAAATATATGTTATAGTGTTTCTGCAAGGTTAGTATAATGTAACAGTGTTTCTGACTGTTCAATGGAAGAGAAAGCGTTTCTGATTGGTAAATCAATGTAATAGAGGTGTCTTTGATAGGTCTATATTATGTAACAATAATTCTGATAGGTCCGTACTATGTAACAGTATTTCTTATTAGTCAATGAAAGTAAGTGAGTCTTTGAAAGATATGTCAATGAATTTCGTGTGTTTCTGACATGTGATTGCTGGAGTGCATTTTGTGATCGTACAGTGTTTCCTCATACGAAAACGCAAATGCTAGAGTGCTTTTGAAAGGCCAGTTAATGTTACATTTTTTGTGAAAGATTCGTGATATGTTACAGTGTTCCTGATTGGTCCGTGATATGTTAGAGTAATTCTGATAGGTCATTATATTTGACTAGTTGTATATTTATTTACCACGTACTTCTGTGATCTTCCCGTAGATTTTTGTGATTATTATTTTTAGCCTATTTATTTGTGAATATATAATAAGTTTTTTTGCGAGTTTTATTTACTACCTAAGTATTTGTAAATAATCACAATGCTGTGATGTTTGTTATTGTTCAACGTTATAGGAAGAGGTTGTATTGAAGCAGGAGGGACCAGAGCATGCGCATTGTAGCAAAATGGAATTCTGCTTTTTGTGATGAAAGTGTTTGTGGTCGTAGATAAGCATGTATTATGGTGCTGCCACAACTTGTTTTTTTTACTTTTTCTGACGGTAAGAAATTGGGTGGATTTATGCATTAGTTTCTGTGAGAAATTCAAGAATATAATGCCTAGCACGATGAAATCGTTTATAAAGCACCACCTTCAGTCTGTAAATTTCTTTGACGTGTAATTCAACTTCAAATGGAGAAATTAATAGACCCGATGGGTTTTGATCGAATATAATTTCAGTTTGGCTTATATTAATAACTGTAATATGACAATCTGTAAAAAAAAAAATGAGAAGAAACCGATTAATGATCAGTAAATAGACCAGGCCAAAAAATCCAAAACACTATTATTATCATTTGAATATGTTTTTACAGGCCATGTTATTTCTTGCAGAAAAAAACAATTTCACAAACGCCTTTATGTCTATTTATGCTGTTTGTAGATATTTTAGAGAACTGTGTTTCTCGATCGCGATAACAAACATGTGATCTTGTTAACACACCGTGTATTTATATGTTTATTTGGCCGTTAAAAAATAATTGAGAGATTAAGAGAGAGAAATCCATCTTTGTTGCAACACAATTTGTAATAATAACGCTCTTTAGTTGCTACTACGAGCGTTAAATCTGACAAAATATAACCCACTTTGCAATTGATAAATATTGTAAAACATATTTACGGATGTCGCTGCCGAGGTTAAAAAGCGCTTGCTCTTTCGGAATAGCTCGTGTCACATTCACTATACGTTACAATGGAACTTTATGTATATCTCCATACTTTCGGATTTTGCTCTTCGTTTGTTTTCCCCTCATTGTAACAGCTTTGGACATGGTTGTTGCAAAGACATCTGTTTTCATGTGTATGCATGTGTGTGCATGTTTCCAGGTTGTGTATACACAACAACGGAACCGTCCAATTCTTGATACTTGGCAGAAAAATGCACCATAGTCTGAGGACGAACGAGGTAAAGGTCGCAGATTATGGGTCAAGGTCACAGCAGCCTTTTCAAGAACAAATGGCGTATACAGCTATCCAATGGATATTCTTTATACTCAGCAGATAACGCGCCATTGTGTTAGGACAAAACCTATTGAAGGTCAAGATCAACAGCCAATGTCATACCAGCTGAAATGTCAACAAACTGTTCCTGTAGGGTTAATCTTGGATTCATGTCTACTCTCTATTGTCATTAAATAGTTATTACCAAATTGAGTCAAGTTTTAACGCACATCACTAACGATTGTTCCGAAGGGTGTAATTATTACAAAATTGGTTATAATTACAAAGTGGGTTACAAAATAAGAGTATGAAGTCGACGAACGATTAATATGTACAAATAAACCTTATTGTTACCAATGAGCTAGTCTGAGTGTTTATGTTTTTTTATTACATGGAGCCACAGATTTAAATTGCAGTACAGTTGATAATATTTGCCGGGATTTAATTTTGCTAAATTTAATACCCAGCTGAAATTAAAACCATTGATTATACTCTCCGTGATCAGATATTCATGTACATTGATAGTAAAAAAAAATAATCCTTTCAGTATTTAACCGTTACCTGCCGAATGAAGAATATAAAACATAAATTTTATATTGTATTTTACTTCATTTTCACAAAACATTTGTATTACAAGTATCGTCACCCAAATACAAAAGTCGTGAGCGCAATATTTGTACCTGGCAATATTGTGCAATATTATATCCACGTGAACTAGTTCTGATCGATATAGCCGCGAAATATTAGCCCTGCAAATTAACAATTTATGCAGTAACTAAAGCCGTCCATTAAATATACCCTGTAATCACACCATGTAATGAACATGAAGTCCTCCGTAAAACTTCGATACATTACAACCGTATATTTTACTCATTTCGAACAAGATATAGAAACTTTGGGGTTTTACCGTATTTAACCGTACCAGTGACCATGCTGTATGACTAAATATCTCTTGTTATGATCAGACAGAATCAGTGGTATCGTGTCAGTTGGGTGAACTGCTTTAACTTGATAAACTATTAGGACTATTGATATTGTGGTAGTCCGTTGACATCGAACTAGGTGAGTTTAGGGAGGACCGCTGATATTCGTGGTTGCACGAGCTTGTGTGACGCGAGTGTCAAGTACCAAGGCGCCTAGTTGGCGGTATCTCCAAATATCTGTCGAGTACGTTTGGCACCTTCTCTTGATGCATCAACATCATGCTGACCTTAACCCTCTCTTACTCAGCATTAGCTCCAGTGACCTGTATTCCTATATCCACTACGTCACCTCCTTGCCTGTAACTAAATGAAATAACTGGTATTACCTACATAACGCCTGTGATTGCCAATCATAGTATTACATTGGCGATATCGTAGCTTACCAGTTTCAAAATTCTTTATTCAGACGAATTTTCAACGTAATGGTAGAAGTTGCTGAGTATATAAATAAATGCTCAGATTTCATTCCGAAATATAGACATGTCTTTGTTTTGCTCACCAGTACAAACATAAGACCTTAGTATAAATATGTTACAAGTCCTTGATNACCACCACCACCACCACCACCACCATGTACTCCTGTCATATACCGTCTCACACGTCAGCGATCAGCGTAGCCCTTCTCCCGGTTACCTATGGGTTCACTGACTGACGGCGACATGGCAGAGATCCGCACAGATGTACACATGTCTATTTCACAACACAAAGAGTCTACAGTGATCTATTACATCTGCAAGTATTGTGTTCAATGTCGTAACAATACAGATGTGATCCGTTTCAGTATATACTGTGAAATCATTATTTTTCGTGGTGAACTGGAATTGGTTTTACTCCGTTTCTTCTTCTTCTTTTCTACTTCTGGTCCGCCGAAAAAGTTTCCGACGCATTTCTCAAAAACTGTTGAACTGAAATTAATGAAACTTTACACAGGTGTTCATCATGGTAAGGGTTTCTGCAAATGACCTTTCATTTTCTGATCGGTCAAAAAAGATGGCCGCCATGACCTCTGATTGGTCGAAATTTAATATTTGTCAATTGTGCTCAAATTTGGTTTGCATGTGTATTTTGGCACTTCTTCAATGATTACAATGAATACTGTTTGTTTTTAACTAATTTTACGAATTACAAGTTTGATATAAAGCAAATCGCCGGTTGAGTGGTACTCGTGATCAACGAATTCATGCAACAACGAAATTATGTTTTGTCGGGAAAACACGAAATGTTGGCTCCCCGAAAATATCTGAATTAACAGTATATAATCCCCAAGGGAAATATACAAGTGATTATATCACACCTTTGCGTTATTAATGCGTACTTCTTATTTTGCTATTCACCCAATGATAGACTTTTGAGGTGATATACACCGACAACACCGACAGGGAAGAAATAAACCCCGGCTACTTTTCTTTAAAAATCTTAATTTCAATATGGGGTTATGGTAAATAAAAGCATAATTGTTTCTTACCAATGTCAATAAATATGTAATCTGACCAATACATCTGTGTTTGGTGGGGATTTATTTGGTTTTATGAATAAAGCACATCGTAGGTCTTTGCATAGTGCACACAGATCCTTGAGTATATACTGCATTCTTTACTCACCTTAGTCATTCCTTGAGTAGATAGATAAACATTAAACAGTTAAATAACACGCACAAAGGGTATTAAGTCATTGTGTTAGCTCTTAAAAACAGTCACTGGAGGAAACACGGGTTTGGTTTACATCAGTATAATAGAACGGTTAAGGACTGGGCACTCAGGAAAACGTTTGTCTTAAAAAAACCCAATAATTATGTTCTGAGCACACAGTCTTAATGTTATTATGCCTATGTAAACCAACCCTGTAGACTATTTACTTGTTTTGACCTTCCCCTCGCCATTATTGTTTGTAAACACGTTTACCTTAGCCCGTATTCATAAAACCATTATCATGCTCAAGCATCGATTCTGTGCCTAAAACAACTTTCTAGCAACTCGCTTAAATATTGTGACAATGTGAAAAAATAAAGTGTAAACATTTTAAACTATAATCAGGTTGAGGTGTAACCAGAACTGTTACAAATCATTGATGAAATATTTTTACTAATTTATTTATCACAGGAACTAGAAAATTGGCTACTGCACAAAATGTGAATTTGGGCGTGAGAATGGTACCCTGATCTTGTAGAACCAGAAACTTGTTACAAACAATAACATTTTAGTAGCTACGTCTCACAATAGGTTAAAGGAACTTGTGGCGTTGATTATTACATATTTGAAAGTCTGTGTGGTAGTTACTGGTAATGAAGTGACACTTCTGTAACTGTCGGGATCATCTAAGATTGTAGAACGTTTCTAAGTAGCTTGTGTGTTTCCATGTACTTAAAATATGCCGTGAAACAATATTGATGCGTCTTTCAATAGATTTTCGGCACATGCAACTTGGAATATTACATTTTTAAGAAAATATGTGTGGTAGTGACAGGTATTAATGCGATACCTTCTGTATGTTCCCATGTTTTTTGTTTTTTTTAAATATGCCGTGGACCCATATTGCTATTGTGTTATTTGCTATTAGTTTTATGAATCTGTTTAATCTCCATAATAATGATAGGAGCATTTGTTCGTTACAGTTTATCGAACACTGGTAATAATAATATCATGGAAACTTCGTTATTAAAACGATCGCACTTTTATACGTCAATAAAATGGTTCTCGAAGTGTATAAGCCCACACTTCTACCATATCATATAGTTCGCGGATTGTTTTAACGTCACAACCCTCCATAACGCGGCTTCGATTTCTTATTCTTAAATATGTGTGATAACAACGGTCGGTCTATCCCACTGTATGTGGATCACAAAAGGCAACTGATGTGGGACACCTGTAGAATCTTCTGTGTCGTCTACGTTGAAGAAACCAACATTGATCTGCCGCCCCAATTGCAACAGTGGCGATTTGTTTCCGTTTCCTATCATTTCTGTCTTCTTTCTTTGCAATCAACATTCTGTTTCAGGCGGTGTCGGCTCCCTTGGCACCCGTCTAGATATGAACGATACACCCCTAACAAAACAAGAATCAATTTCTTCAAGTAACTCCGACATGTGACGATAAAATATCTATAGTAGACGAAAGTTCTGAAATCTGTTTCGGAATATTCGTACAGTCGCTGTTTACTAGCATCATTCCATAGACCTCACTTAACTCTTAATAAACATCAGAATATAAATCAGGCGATATTCCATTTCCTTTAATACCCGATATCAATTTTAGTATAGTGGTTAGTTATCTTCCTATAGTGTTCCGGGCAAATTTTAGTGTAAAAATCACCAAACGTTAGATCAAGACACTGCTCAATTTCATTCCTGTTCAGCTCTGTACACTGCTAATGAGCACCCTTCCCTTTCCGTGTATTTCTACTTTTTATTTTAAATGGTTAGTGCTACCCGGACGAAATTGTCATATGGTTTAATAAATATTGACTTAGTTTGGCATTTTACAATTGTACTTCATTATTTTGTATTTCTAGTGATTGCTGAAGATAATGAACATTTAATATTCTACAACAATTATCAAACAATTTCTGAGGTTCCATTATTGACGGGTGTCCCAGGTGGAAGCGCGCGAGGGTCTAGGGGAGGATATAGGACTCTTCGGAGGGAGTCCCCTTTACTCCCTGCCTTGTCACGTCCGATCCCGACTGCCTTGGCGGAAAGGCGACTGCGCTTACCACTGCCCCACCCGATCAACTCCGGTTCAACTGTCATTAAATAACAATAAAACCCCCGCTATTTGATATATAGTTTTATTAAAATAACATTGGCTCTCAACGAGTCATGGGGTACAAAATTAGCACAAAATCGAGGTGGGCCGATGGCATGAAATATAAGAAGGGAGACAACTCTTATGCATATATGACGTAATGGTTGACAACGTTAAATATGCACGTGACCATAGACCACGTGACTATACAACTCGTGCAGCTTTTCTTACAGTATGTTAATGCATTGCAGTGTGCAATGCTTCATCGAGTATTCCAATGTCCCCATCTCTACATTATAATGAGGTACATTATTTCTTAATTGTTGACATATTCATATAAACGCAACTTTGAACATGTAATATGGAACTAATTCCTCCGGTGGTTCAATATTCACATTTTCCCCATTTCAACATTGACTGACGTTTCATTTGAAGTAAAAATCAAGTACTTAAATGGATGAGCTAGAACTTAAAAGATGACCAGTCTTCCTGCACATTTCAATCAGATACAGTCTTCCTCCACATTTCAATCAGATATACAGTCTTCCTCCACATTTCAATCAGATATACAGTGCCCGTTTTACGGTAAATGTATGTTTGAAACGACACAGTTGACAAATTCCTCCATTGTT